AGTTAGCATCAGAGCAGATTCGTGAACTTCCCACTTAGCTTATGAGTCACCCCCACAAGCGAATCCACCTTCCATGTCTAGATGAGAAAAAGAAAGAATAGTGAAAGTGCAGTAAGTTTCTATCAAGCTTTGTCTAAAAGTTCTCTTAATTGGTCAGATGAAAGACAATGAAACAAATCTGCAAAGTCTGATGTCCTTTAAATGCTTTTTAATCACTTGACCATTGTTCTCGTTATCCAACTTTTCCCACAGGTCAAAAGTAATTCGAAAACAACAGTATTGGTGAGTTTCTCTGACTCCCCACCCACCCCCCAAATAGACTTCTGTTGATTTTCAATGACCCTGAGTTCTCTGATGTGGCCATTTGAAAATAATGGAGCCTATCTGAGAACAGACAGATAACCACAAATGGGTTAAAAAGCAGACTTGTTTTCCTTGAGAGGGTTGGTCAAAGCTCCAAGGGTGGCCAAGAGGCCGGACTGCCAAGCAGCAGTCTCAGTGAGAATGTGCCACTAAGTCCCTAACTCCTCCAAGCGCTTCATGCCAGCAACTGGCTTTCTCCCGAGTTATCTTGCCCGAGCAAGACAGGTGACAACTTTTCGAAGAGAGAAGTCACCATTTCAAAGATGAGGACAGAAAGGCAGAAAGAAAGGGAACTGAGTAGGTCTGTTCAACACATAATTGACAGAGCGGGGATGTCAATATAGGTCTTTTCACTTTGCACACGACAGAATTTCTTCTAAACCAGAGTGTCGTGAATTAAAACATGAATGAACTCAATCAGAAGATGCTTGTAATTCAAAGTTCATGGGGACCTGCCAAAAATGCTTACCTTGTGTAAACTTACATCACACAAAAATTAGTGCAAAAAGCCAACTCGGTAAATTTACTTTCAAGCAAATTCACTAAAAAAAATTCTGGAATCAGAAGCTATTTAAAAGACTGGAGAAGCATTCCCTTGATTAGGTTACAGGTACCCTATTACAGAGCTGTGCCCTCAAAGTTATTAAATATGGAGTTCATGGGGGAGCAGTACCATCATGAACCTTCCAACTAGCTCCTGCCAAGAAACTAGGATGGGAGATGAGGGGGAGGAGGCATGTTTAACAAGTTGGGCTTTTGTTCCAGTCCACTCACTCACTGGCTGTGTGACTTTGAGTCCATCACTTAAAGTTCAAGTGGCTCAGTTTTCTAATTTGTAAAAATGGAGATAATACGACCAACCTCACCACTGTGAAGAATAATGCAATCATGAGCCCCTCACATATAAGGTATTAATTATCATTACCTCTGTCAACAGGACAGATGGTTTCCCATCCTCAGTGCTTACTGCAGTTCCCAGAACACCGCTGTTCCCTATCCGAGGACTTGCACCACCTACTTGATAAAAACAAGACACCCACTCCTGCTTTTTTGATACTTTCAAAGTCATACACAAGTAAATTCTCATGAGGAGGGTTCCTTACAATTCTCTTAACACTTTCCCAACCATCGCTCTGCACTGCTTCCATTTTAATACTGCACTAAAAATAGGATGTTCTGTTTTCTTGTTGTTTGTGTTTTCAGAGAAAGTCAGTGTTCTACTCTTCCTAGCACACCCGCCTCGCACCCTCACAGCTACGCCTCAAATAACACCAGAGCCCCGAGATGAACCCATGTGACATCGAAAAAAGGCAATTCTCTGCCGTTTTGTAGTTTCTGTCTATCCAGGAGCAGAAACTGTCCTAAAGGGATCCCATTACCCATGGAGGGATGAAGGCGGCCGCCCTCACTGACCTTTGTGAGGTCAGAGCAGGAAACCAGGAGACCCAAGGTCAAGTCTTAGCTCCTTACCCTCCTGGTTAGAGCTTCCTCGTGTGTAAACCAACAGGGACTGGACTAGATAGCCAGCCTTTTAGATTTCAAAGGCCAGTAATTTTTTAATCTGGAAATTAATTTAGGAATTAAGATTTTTAATCTGAGATTTAATTTTGGAATTAAGAAAGTAAGACTATGTATTAAGTAAGAATACATACTAAGAACAAGAATAGCAGCCTTGAACTTCAGAATGCCTCTCTGAGATGAATAACAAAGTCTGCTCACAATTTTGAAAGTATTATTCTCTAATTGATCACAGCAGCTATGCTATAAATGACTGGTGACAGCAACCTTGACTCCATTTGTCAAAGAAGGAATCCTATAGGACCTAACAATTAAATTATTATTTTGGTTCTATTATTAATAGATTAACCGTATTCTTGAAACTACCCAGAGAAATGTATCAGGAAATCAAATTCTCCTCCAGGGAATAGTCAAATCCTCCTCCTATTTCTTTAAATTCCCTTATTCTTACTACCATTAGGATGGATGTGGTGTGTGCCACAAAACACCAATGCACTTAAGTTGGTTGTCCCCTACCTGGATTCTGACACTCAAAATAAATTCCAGACGAATCAATGATTTAATGTGATAATTAAACTGTAAATTCACTGAAAGTAAACACTGAAGGGACGTTTTCATAATTTTGAGCAGAGAAGCCCCTTTCTACACATGAGACCAAAAGCCAAAAATGAAATGTTTGACCAGAAAAAAATTAAATATTCTGCATAGCAAAAATATTTATTCAAAGTAGATATACAAATGAGCTACTAGGAGAAAATATCTACAGTCCACATGAGAGTCAACGGACAAGTATACTTAATACACATACAGCTACTGCAAATCAAGAAGAAAAATATAAACTCAATAGAAAAAAATGGGTGAAAAATACAAACTGGCAGTTCACATAAAAGAAATACAGGTGGCCGATAAACATGAAAACATACTCGGCCCCAGTCATGATTTAGAAGTGAAAATGAAAATAATGGGGCATCTATTTTTTACCTGGAACACTATCAAAAAGTAAATGTTAGTAAGAGCCACAGTAGTTGGGGGAGACACAAAATTGATGGGAGTGCAGATCAGAGCAACTTTTTAAGTAGACAAGTTAGCAATGTCTGAAAATTTAGAAGACACATTTTATGACCCAACAATTCCACTGGTATAAATACACACACACACACACACTTAGAGATACAAAAAGACATATGCACAAAGATGTTTATTATAGCACTAGAGGCCCAGCGCACAAAATTGTGCACGGGTAGGGTCGCTAGGCCTAGCCTGCTATCAGGGCCATCTTCTGCCCGTTTGCCAGTCCCCAGTCCTGCTCCATCGCCGACACCCACCCTGGTTCCCCGTGGTTCCCCATTGGCCATCCAGCGATCGGAGCCTGAGGGCTGAGGGGAGGGATGAGAGGTGGTCAATGCACCTCATAGCGACTGGTTGATAGGTTGTTCTGGTCATTATGCTGTTACGGTTGCTGGCCTTTTATTATACAGGATTATGTATAAACAACAACAAAATAAAACCCTAAATGTTTATCAGTAAAATAAAGCACTGACATCCAAAATGAGTGTAGCCTGGCCAGGGTGGCTCAGTGGTTCGGCATCAATCTATGAGCCAGGAGGTCAGGATTGATTCTTGGTCAGGGCACATGCCTGGGTTGCAGGCTCCATCCCCAGCGGGGGCTGTGCAAGAGGCAGCCAATCAGTGATCCTCTCTGATCAATTATGTTTCTCTCTTTCTCCCTCTCCCTTCCTCTCTGAAATCAATAAAAATTGAGTATAACAGATCCCTATGTCTAATAGGGAATCTCCAAAATATATTAAGTAGGGGGAAGGGGAACAACATGCATAATATTATCCCATTTGTCTAAAAATAGGTGTAGATATGGATACAGATATATGTATATATATGTATACATACACACTAACACATGCCTTAGTTTACTAGAATGACATACAACATCAATTAAGAGCTATTATCTGTAGTGATCATACATGGCAATAGTGGAGATGCATTTCTTATTTTATCCCCTTTTGTTCTATAAAAAGTAAAAAGATACATATAAAAAATTGTAACCGCCCTGCCTACATATTGATAATATACTAATGAAATGTCCAGATCTCCTACTATAATTCCTGGAAAATAAAAGAGGCCAGAGGGGAAAAGGCTCTACAGTGACCCAGATTCTCTCCAGGGCAAGTCAAAAAGGGCAATTGTAATAAGCAAGACAAGGAAAAGAAGGTGTCTCTAGAAAGAAAAAAATAAATGAGCAAAATCCTGTAAGGGAATCATTGCAGGTTGTATTTGGAGGCAGAACAGGGAGGTCTAAGCTAAGCAAGACATTTCCCAGGGCCCTGAGCAAGACACAGGCAGATTATAGTAAATCATCAGAAATTTCAAGTGTGGCTCTTTCCAGCTGATGCATGGAACATGGAAAAAGACTGCAATTAGGTAGAGTAACTGCATTGGAACTAATGATATAAAAGGGATCCTTTGAACATTAAAATCAGTATTTGTTGGCCTGAATAAAATCATTTTGCAATGATTTCCTGTATTTTAAAGATTGGAAATCCTGAGTAATCCATGAAAATGCCAACCTATCTCCCTCACATCTGGTCCCAGATCTCATACCGAATCCTGAGGAGAAAATAACTCATACCTGGATGCCAAATCACCTGAGAACGCTTTTATGCACTTAGAATGCAGAAGCTCCTAGCTGAGAAATTAATCAATTTGGGAGCCCAGGTTTTATTTAAGGCTCAGGGACAACAACGAGTCTTCATGGACAGTAAAATCTGACTACTCTGCCTCCACACAATGAAATCATCCACGCGAGCTTCTCAACAGACCAATTAACCGCTGCCTAGATTGACAACATAGAAAGGAACACAGGTGTCTTTGCAGGAGCAGTTCCAATAAAGAGCCAGCATGCCTCTTCACTCCACCCACAAGCAAAGCCTACGGCTCTTCTCTTGGCTTTAAATGTAAATGTAGCAGGACAAGTATGAATTCCACTATGGTGGGTCACTTTAAAAAAAAAAGAAAAACAGCTTCCCCAAAGAAACAGATGCTTGGGCTGGAGAGTAGCCAACCCAAGTCACTGGAAGGCCTCCTTGTTTCCCGGGGTTCCTTACCTTAGAATTCGTTTCCATGTGGTATTTGGCACAAGCGCGCAGCTGAGACACCCAGAGCTGTTTCTCTTTTGCATCAGCAGCTAAAAGAGAGAAAGAAATGCTTAGAGAGACTGTTCCAAAACACATCCAACCTATTTCTACACCCACCTAAGGAGGTGGGGTGGGGTGGGGCGGCAGGCAAAGGAGTGGGGGGTAGAGGGAACAGCAAATTCAGATCTCAATATTCTCAACTAGCCTGTCCTTAATGCCAGAAATCAAATTACGCTACACTTCAACAGAAAATTCCCTCTTAAACCGCATTAAAAATGTATTCTGAAATATCCATTATAAGAACAATTGTGCCACTTTTTTAACCTGCTCTGAAAAACTCATTTCCGCTCCTTTAAAAAGGCAGCAAGGAAGGAGAAACAAGATTATTTTTTCAATGCCTCAGCCACATGTGGCTAATATGAGGATCAAAGTACAGCTTTTCTCGAGGCCTTTTTGTTATCTACCAGAGCTGTACTGTGGCATTATTAGCATTTACAAAATAAGCATTCAGTTGAATTACCATTTTAATATGTGTTCTCAAGGATTCATATTAGGATCGGACAGAACAAGATACCAAATGCTGCCTTGGAGATCCTCAAATTTCCCCCAAAGAGACATTAAAATGCAAGTCAACTGCATCATCATAACCTTCCATCTGCACCCCCTTCTCTCAAGCACATAAAATGGTTTCTTTAAAATATTATGGATGCATGACAGGTTCTAATAAAATTTAAATCTTTAATTTAAGTGAACAATTAACCACATAAATATTTTAACATATTAATTGCACAAATGTTGACTATGCAGAAAACAATATTCCCCTAGAAATGATAATTGTTTACAAAAATGGGCCTAAGTATCGTTTGTCAATAAAACCCAACTTCAGCTTGAACTTGCAGGTGAAGAAACCTAGAGTTGTAGACCAGAGTAAGACCAGGTGGACCAAACTTTCAAAGACAGAGGATTTTGCAAATCTAGAGCCTTTGTTCCCTAGGAAAGGTGAAGAATTAATTGCCAGTTTGTGGCAATTCCAAAGGCTCAGCACTGAGAACATTCCCAAAAGCTATGCATCTAATGACAACAAGATTCAACTCTCTGTGCAGGTGAGGTGTGAAATGAGAAAACAGACACCCAGATCCTTGTGGGATGGGCCAAGAACCAGCCATAAACATGCAGAAATTTACCCTGTCTTTTCTGGAACTGCCAAGGGTAATAAGTTAACTTAGCCTTCGCAATAATTTCATGTAGATTAAACTTCTATACTTGCTATTAAAACTACCCTTTAAAAAACAACAACTGAGGTTTAATAATCCAGAGAATAATAACTCAAAGGCAAAGTGATATAGCTCAATTGTCAACTCTTGGATTTTTCTCTTTGGTGTGGATTTGCGTCATTTTATAAACCACAGGCAGGGGAAAGTGACATGAAGTCTCCCCCCCACCCCCGCTATTGTTTCTGCTCTAACGATTTATTAAGCAATAAACAGCAAAGCAAAACCAAGGACTATATAAATCTAGCCAGCTGGGAAGCACACTGCACGAATCTCAAAAAAGAACATGAATCTTAGCCCATTTCCCCAAAACTGAAAAACTTCCTTCATCTACAGCCATTTTTATCCTATAGGATGATTCTGAAATATGATTGCTATATAGATTAATAAAGAAACAGTAGCTTATTCCATCTCTTGGCAGTAACACTTGGAGGTGAACAGTGAAATGGACTGAGAGGTGAGGAATTGAGGCCCTCACTCCGGCTTTGCAGAGGCCAGTTCCTGGGCTCGGGGAGAAATAATGAGGCCTTTCCTTCGTACTTGGCCTTTACTTGGGCTGAGAAATATGTCATAAGAATGCAGAATTGCCCTAACCGGTTTGGCTCAGCGGAGAGCGTCAGCCTGCGGACTCAAGGGTCCCAGGTTCGATTCCGGTCAGGGGCATGTACCTGGGTTGCAGGCACATCCCCAGTGGGGGGCATGCAAGAGGCAGCTGAATCAATGTTTCTCTCTCATCCATGTTTCTAACTCCCTTCCTCTCTGTAAAATATCAATAAAATATATTTTTAAAAAAAGAATGCAGAATTACCAACTCCCTGCTGATACTTAATACATACTACTTTCCTCAGACCTTAATACATAACATTGACTCTGTATGTATGTATATACATTCGGATTGTTTTATTGTTGTTGCATTTCGTTATTTCATTAGAAGAATACTGACCATTTTTCTGGCCATGCAACTGTAACAGAATGCTGGAAGAATGATCTAGCAATCAAATTACACTGCCATAGTCAAACCTGGAGTTCCTGAAAACCTGTGCGATGTGTGTGCCTTGGGGTTGGGGGTGGGGTGGGGTGCAGGACCTACAGTGGTGGCCCAATGCTGGACTCTCTCAAGTCACGCTCACTGACCAGGATGCTGAGCACACATCAGTTTTCAAGATGCAAAGAGAAGGCGAGAAAGCACACTGCAGGACATTAACTCAGCACCAGTTGGCTTCTCACCTCGCTCACAACAGATTAAATAAAATATAAGTGAGGGCACAATGCCCTTTAAAAGGCTTGTTTTGTCCGTATTGCCCAAAGTGCCCACGGGGCCCTATTGTGGAGATTGACACCATCAGGTCGGAGAAAACATAGACTGAGCTAATATGAAAAATATCCCCAAGTCCTAGGCCTCAGCTGGCTTGGCAATCACTCACCTTTTCCTTGTCCTTAATTCCCCAATTAGGACAAGCAATTCCTAATGTCAGGCCATCTCCCCACCCCAGGGGTAAGAGAGTTAGCAACCATTTGTCACCACAAAGTCATCAAACAGAGCAAATTGCTCAAGTTGATTCTTTTTTTTTTTAAATCAGAAGACAAGAGAGCCATCACCATGGTGACTAGGACTGTGGCCCACGAGGCCTGTCTGAAAAGTGAGCAGGAAAAGAGCGTACCTCTCAGCTTATACATCTCTCCATTGGCAGAGTACACGACCAGCATGTGGGGAGCTTCGTCGCTCAGGGACACTATGGCTCCAGATAAAGACAGGGTTCCTCGGGGCTTCTGGTGCTTGCTTTGCTCATTCACAAAATACTGCAGGAGGCCAGCCTCAAAGTCCAGCACAAAGTACCTGCACGGAGAAACCACAATGCATCACTCTGCTCCCCAGCCCATTCCTCACCACAAAGAAGAAAAAGGAAAGGGACCCTTAAATCGACATCAAGGCTCCAAATCCAAGAAGCTCGGAACCAAAAGTCCCCACCAGGTGCCCTCAAAGTTAGCCCCCCAGTCAAGAGAGAGCATTCGATAAGAGAGAGAATGGAGCTGGTGCCTGGCCGGTGTGGCTCAGTGGTTGAGCATCGACCTATGAACCATGAAGCGACGGTTCAATTCCTGGTCAGGGCACATGCCTGGTTTTCAGGCTCGATCCCAGTAGGGGGCGTGCAGGAGGCAGCTGATCAATGATTCTCTCTCATCATTGATGTTTCTATCTCTCCCTCTCCATTCCTCTCTGAAATCAATAAAAATATATTAGGGAAAAGAATGGAGTTTGTGGCAGGCACCACAGGGAAGGGGCAGGTCCATTCGGGATTTGGTGCAATGCCCACCACTTCGCCCGGTGCCCACGGATACCACAGTCAACCTCAGAACAGCCACCGAGCAGCAGATGCACCAGGACACAGGCTGTTAGCACACTCCACACGACTTCACATGAGCAGCAGGAATTCTCCAAGCCTCTGTGAGAGGCCCTTTCACACCTGGTAGCAACAAGCTGGGCCCTGAGCTTCCTGCTGGCAGCATGGGTACCGTGAGGCGCCCAGCTGCCTGGGTCATCTGCCAGGGAACGGGAGGTGCTATACAACCACCCGAGCACACGCCAGTGGGCCTTCCTAGACATCATTTTTCATACAAAGAGGCGAATATTTCCTCCACTCCAGAGGGTGGCAAAGCCATTGGGCTCCACCAAATCCCTGTCCTTGGCTTCCAGGAGACACAGCCAGAATCTACAGGGCGGGACGAAACTAGGTTTACAGTTGTTCGTATACAAAATAGTACAATAATTAATCAATAATACAAGAATAAACTCTGTGTTTTGAGTACTCACAATGGTAAACCTACTTCTGCCCCATCCTGTATTTCCAACTTCCCTTGCAGTTAGGATATGGCCATCTAACTGAGCTTTAACAAACAGAGTACGAACAGAGGTAATGCAGGCCTGGCCCCTAACTCCCAGACACCTACACAGACTCACACTCTCTCTATCACACACTTTCTCACGCACACATTGGAATGGAGACAACCTACAGGGCAACTTGAGACCCCCACCATGGGTATGACAAAGGCACAAGAGGGAAGGCGCCTGGGTCCCCGAGTCACCCCCTGGAAGAGCCACCTGCTGAGGAACACCCACTTCAGAAGGCTACATGAATAAGAACATTCTCTTTCATTAGGCGACTGAGATCCAAGTCTGTTACAGCAGTGAGCCTCACAGATTCACCGAAAATCTTTTTAAGTTTCTATTTTTAGATTCTCCCACTTAACATGTGCTCCCGCTCCTTTACGTGGGGCGAAAACCAAATTCCTTCTAGAGGTGAAGCGGGGGGATATCTGAGTTGCCGATGGTCAAATTATGTAAGTGCCGGCCCTGCCTTCTCTCTAGGAGTAAATGTCTCCAGCCTGACCTATATTTGATGTCACTGCCCCTGGCAAGTCGGGGCACTCACAGCTGTGATCCTCACAAGTGGAGGGAAGGAAACCTGGCTCCAGCGACCAACCGCACTGTGTGTCCCCACCCCCACCCCACAGAGCTGCGGCCTCCCTCCACTGATATAAACACCCCACCTTTACACAGCAGGGAGCAAGGGAAGGGGTCCCTGAATGGGCTTCAAGGGAAAGGCATAGCCACTTGGTTGGAAGAAAGGAAGGGCTTAATATCTTCCTCCCTACTGCTTCCATCAACTGATTTATTGGGAATCGGTCAGACTTCCTCTCTCCTACAGGCAGCTGCCCCAAGGCATCCTGTTGAACAACTAACCATATATTTGCAAAGGACATCATTCAGAAGCTGGTACAAAGAAATGAATTGAACGCTGTTGGTTTTTTTCCAATAACGATGACAGAATAACCAATGGATGTCACATTATGCAGGATATGGAGACGTGCTAATGATTTTTCACATTACCTATTTCCAACTGACATCTTAATTCTAACCTCCTGCCTCAGATGGGGGGAAAAAATCGTTATTTCCACTACTTCCTAAAATAGTTTAAATGCAAATGCACAGGCTTGAATCATGGGCACGAAGGAAGACTAATAATTTAAGACCAATAAAGACATTTAAAAACTCAATCATATTTGGAGGGGGCAGTGGGAGACTGATTAAAAAATTGCAACAAATTAAACACAGGTTCTTTCAAGATGGCCTTTGAAAGACAAGTTAGCTTGTGTCACAAACAGTTAAGAGCTGTCCATACGGCATTAAAAAAGGCAGTTTCTGTTGGTCAGATCCCCTGGGAGGAAAGAAATTACATTAGGTTTCCTACAGGGTTATGGCTGTGCCGGGCACTGCTGTTTGGAGCTTGCAGCTATATCTGAAAGTCACAGCTTTCACTCCACATGGGGAAGTTAACCATATTCCTAGATTAGGTTTCATTACACCAAGTGAAATTGCCAGATCAAATCCTGAAACATTCTTCAAAGGCTTTCCTTTTGGAGAAATGAATAGTGTGTTCTTTTTAAATTAATGCTGAGCTTCAGCATGCAACCTGACTGATGTGTAGGTGGGCTTAATTATATACAAAGAGCATATTTTATTTGCTATGTTAACAAACCAAAAATATGTGCTGGAGAGAGAAAGGAGAAAATGAGGAGCAAAATCCAACCCAGGAAGGGAGCCATCTTAATTCTCATCAGGACAGCTCCTGGTGGCACCTTGCCCGTTTCCAACCCTGGGAGCCATGGCAAGCCCCTTCCTTGGAAGGGCTGAGAATAACACTGCCCACTACCATCCTTCAGAGAAACCCCATCGCTCTAGAAAGAACATACAAGCGCACTCATAGACACACCTGGATGTACACACATATGTACTCATACCAATACCCACAGACACTCACACCTGCACACATGCATTCCGATACACTCATGCTCAGACGTGCTCACGTTCATAACATCCCTCTTGAACTAACTCATGCATTCACACTGTAGACACACACTCACATATGTGTACACACATGCACACTCACACATGCTCTTACTTCCACGCATGCACACAGAACAGCCATTACCTACTTCTGCTTTCCAAGTCTTGCATCTCTGAAGGTTATTTGGCTACACCTGTAGCCTTTTAATTCCCCCCCGCCCCGGGCCCCGCAATCTACCTGATATAGTTTCATTAGGTTCAACTTTAGGACCTAAAAGTTGAAAACATACTTTTCACTTTGGGAGCAAAGAGGAATGGGGTCTAGGAGCACACCCACAGTCATGGGCCAAACTCAGCAGGAGCAGAAATACAAAGGGAAAGGATTTGGGGCGGGGGGGTGTCCAGGGAAGAAGCTCATTAAAACTGACAAATTATAACCAAATTACAAGAGAATTACAAAGAGAAAAAATGCAGTGAAATAAATCCTTTGAAGAGGAACTTTTGCTAGACAGGCTGCTCCAGACAAAGAGCTAAATCATTTCATCTAAACGTAAAAGAGAAAATGAAAATGACAAGAGGAAAGGGCCTTCTTACATCTCTCAACTACCTGCTCCTCAGTTAGGTGAGCAGAGATTTCCACCACTGCCACCACCATCCCCCCAACCACCAAGAGACAGAGATTCCAACACTCCAGAAGGCATTAAACTGTCATAGGGCCCGAAGGGCTCATCATCAACCATGAGACAAATATATTCTATTATATAAGAACTTGACCCATTATTAGCCATATGCAGGCATACAATACAACAAGTTTAATCTCAATTACCAGAAAAACTCAATGTGGCCTGTCATAGCAAAATCATTTGGCTAGCTTTCAGATATCTTACAGATATATAAACTGAACCATTGATGAAAAGAATTGCTGATATTTACAGAGCACTTTCTATGTGTCACCCATTTAACTCATTGACACCTCCCAGCAGTCCCAGGAAGTAGATGGGATCATAACCCTTTCTACAGATGAAAACACTTCAAGTACAAAAACACATGCTAAAGACCTTCTAGAAAGGAACCAATGGGTCTAGATTTTAATCCGACTGTCTAGCATTACAGCCCATGGCTCTAAACCAGCAAGCTATTGCGTGCTGATTAAAATAAAGTTTTCACTGTAAAGATGCAAAAACAATAGGGTCAAAAACACAGATTGCAAAATGATAGAAATACAAGAAGACAATAAATAAAACAATCAGAGTGAGAGATGTTAGAATCCTATTGCCCAGAATTTGACAGATATGTAGAAAACAAGTAAAAAAAAACAAAAGAGATTCAAAATAATATAATCACAAGTTTTATTTTAAGTTTTACAAATAATTATATACCCCAATGCATACCCCAATGAAAAATATGACTTTTTAAATGTACATGGAACATTTGCAAAACAGCCAAAAAAAAAAATCTAACATTTAAAAGTAGAAATTTTACTAATCACATTCTTTAACTATACTTTGGAGCAAAATAAGTAGTTGGTATGTTAAAGGCTTAAATTTTAAAATAAATAGTATTCGTTTAAATAATATAACATAATATTATATATCATATATTTTATTTTTATATTAATTATATGATATAACATCACTGTAATTAGGAGAAATATGGGTGAATATTTTTTAATTGTTAAGGTGGAAAAGCATCAGGAGATGAGAGTAAAAACATTAAAAATGATTGCTCTTATTTCTAAATAAAAAGTAAAAACATCTCTAAAGTAAAAAAATAATCCATAGATGAAATTAAAAGACAACCAACATAGTTTTTAAAATTTTTTAAATTGCCTTGCCTTTAAAACAGAAAAAAAACTACGCCTTACAGTTTGGGTCAGCCCTGCTTCTGAATCCATTGGGGAACCTGTTAAAACTATGGATCCCTGATTCCCAACCCACACCTAGAGGATCAGAATCCTCATGGACCAGACGTCAGGAAATCAGGAATGAGAA